TTGAAACGGGATAATAACAATGAAGATGAAGACAATAGTCTGAACATAAATTATAATAATTCATCATCCCAGAAATTCAGACAAGGAAATTATATGAATTTCTTTCTGGTTTGCTGTTATTAAACTTTTAAAGTTACATGAATGTTTCTTACATTTGTTACTAGCAGCATGGCCCGACATTGCCAGTGCTTGATTCAAAAATCGTACGACTCATACAGCAATCGCTATCACTTGACTTAAAATATTTTTGCCCTTCCTTGCCTTTAAAGGAGTACCCTTTGCCGTGCTGATGTTGCTACATGCCTTACTTCTTGACTATCTCACACTGCAAATTTTTTCTAAGCTCTATACTAAACATTAAATCTGTTACAAAAAAAGAACTAAACAAAATGAACACAAAACGATCAGCTTTAAAAAAGAAATCGTAACTGGAAAAACCGAATGAAAAAAGAATGTTAACAACAAATACTTTTTCACACCCAACCCAGTTCTGCGGAATCAGAATCAACGTTGAGTTTAAGCAAGTGAATGAGCCAATTGGAGTAAAGTGCCATGTAGCTTTAAATTTTTCCCACTTGTGACGAATGCAGCTATCGATTTTTTTTTGCATGCTAGCATGCTAGTTAACATTTGTGTCAGTCAGCTGTTGGCTCTCACGCTGGCCAATAGAATCTTCCTGCCTATTTGTGGCAGCCAGCTATTGATTCTCACTTTGGCCAGTAGAAAATGGCAGCAAACTACATGAAAACTGCCATAGAAGCATGAAAAAATCAATTATTTCCACTATCGATGGGAGTTGGGAAATGCAGAGTTAGTCTTGGGCTATCCACTAACTTGGAGCATGTACATGTAAATTTTGGTGCAAATCTGTCGAAAATTGCGGCCATGCATTCATTACACACACACACATCCTGCATTTTATAGATAGAGATTATTGACCGTAAAGCATATATGACTATTTCAGAACTTTTAACATTTAGAATCCTGCATCATTTATAAATATTACTTCCCCTTTTATTGTATGTGGAATTTCCTCAAAATATAGTGTTTTCTGTATTAGTTCTATATATTTGAAACTGCAGTAGCCTGGCTCTCGATTTCAGTCAAGATTGTTTTAGGTGTTGCCATAGAAGGATATGACAACACAAACAAGAAATTCAAATTTAACATTTGTAGGACTAAGATTTTGCTTAGCAAAAATAGTCACCTCCAGAGTGCTAAAGGTTAATTAATAACTAACGGAATGTGTAGAAATTCCACAGAATTTTAATTTTCAACCTGCAGATAGGAAAGAAATAACAGACTTACTGTTATCATTAATTCAGTGTTTGGAGTCATTAAATTATTTAATTTTTATTGAGTTGATATAACAACTATTTGAGGGAAATTTTCATTTACTGAATACAAAACTTATTATAAGTAAAATACCAAAACAGAGAAAAGAGTACTGAACTTCTATGTAATATGAATCTTCCTGTATGGCAGTAAATGCAAGATAATTTCCTCACAAATGAAGAGGAGATTTGAGGCAACAGGTATGTGGTTCTATGGAAGAATGCTGAGAATACCAGGGCTGAGGTACGTAAAAACCAAAAAAATCTTAAGGAAAATGTAAACAAAAAGCACACCTTTTTTTCCTTTTTTTTCTAATCATTTCATCTAAAGCAAGCAACAATGACACTAGAACACAGGGGTAAACAGGAGTAAACCTGAAAGAGAATGAGAAGATTGAAAATGGGGAGGATTGACAAAAGGACAGTAGATGACAATTCATATTGTTTATAATTTTTCGAAGATTGTAGTTATCAAGGAAACAAGAAATTGAAAGGGAGTTCAACAGGTGGGAAGTGCGAGAAACAAAAAATTCAGAATCAGAAAGAGGAAGCTAAAATTTCTGGGACACATGATAAGGAAGATGAGCTTGGAGAATCTGACACTCACAGGACATATTGAATGCAAAAGGGATCTTGGAGCCCACTTGCTTGACCAGCTTGTGTGAATCGATGGTGGAAAGAGTGATGGGTGAGCTAAAAAGGATAATGACACATAGAAAAAGTGAAAAGAAATGTGACTTTGAGATAAGAATAGAAGTTAGATGGAAAAAGTCTTTGTTTATCTCTTGGATAAAGCAGTGCTATTATTAAAATGAATGACTTGTAGTGGGTGGGTTTTCTAGCCTAATCATTAAAACAATGTCTCAATAAAAATGGCTTCTCTTGCACTTCCTGCTTACGGAACTCTCTTCCTGTTTCTTGTGTTCCAGTCAAATTTGATCTTCAAAAATTTTAATACAATGTAAATTGCCATCTTCTCTCTCCTTGAATCATGTCCTTTTATTGATCTCTCTTCTTAATAATGTTTTTTTTCCTCGGAATCTTTCAGTCTAATTAACCCCTTGCACTTTAGTGGCTTTATTGCCTTGCTTGGGATAAAATAATTTAAAATAAATCTTTTTCTTCTGAAAGATAGAGCTTTTCACCAAAATTTATATCTAGGGTAGGAAAAAAGATTTCTGATTGTGTGAAGCTCATTAACTTAATTCGCTTAAAAGTAGCAAAATTGATAATGATTTTGTATTCTCTCTGCAATATTAATATAATCTAATGTATGTTTGCTTCCTTGGATTTATTTTCTATTTTTGATGAAAGAGATTAAACAAGTCTGGTTTTTAAAAAGATGTGTGCTTTTAGCAACTTAATCTAGTTTAATTTCCTTGGATAATTAATGAAAAGACAAAAAGAAAGGATTTTAATTGGGATCATATTAAATCCCAAACCTTTATCCTCTGTACTCTTGGAAAACTTCAGAAACACTAACCCTCATTGTCAGTAGAACTCTTTTCCCACAATTCCATATCATAAAATATTAGAAATGCTTGATAAAAAAAAATGTTCAAATGATGTTTGTCCAATGCTTACTTCCCTTTAGCTATCATTAAGAAGAGTAAAGTATTCTTTCCAGAAGTATTTATTTTTTAACTAATATTACTTTACTTTTCCAGCAAATGATTTTTCTCATTTGTGCTAATCCTGTTTCTATGTCAATAGTTTTAACACGAATTTAGAATTGGAATCTTAAAAAACCCAGCCTCCATAAAACCCATTTAATTTTCACAAACTTGTCACTCATTTTAATGAAGGAGTTAACTGTATTTTTATATTTATTAAGCTTCTTAATAGCTACAGGGCCGAGTTGTTAGAATTCCAACCCAGGTTCGAATCTCATTACGGTCAATTTGTCAAGGAATTGAAATTTTGATAACATCAGCCTTTGAATTTCTTTAAAGTGTGCAGCACTACTGGGAAGTGTCTGGAAAACATACTACTGGTTGACTCAAGTCTTGTGAGTGAAATTAAATATATGGAATTGTTTGGAAATCAAGGGTTATGCTAGCACAAAGTCACAAGTCATTGTGACCGAGGTTTTGGCTTTGTTCAAAACTCTTACTCATGCCAGATTATGCACTCACTCCCAGGAACAGTAACTAAGATCTGCTCAGTATAGTTGCAGTATAAACCACAGTTTGATTCAGTTGATGTTTAAGAAACACAAATGTGGCTGAGCAGGCATCTGCAATTGGGATTAGATACTCAAAAGACAGCATCATTAAGCTAATTCTTTTGCAAAGTTTGGCTGTTAAAAAACTCCAGTAGTTGTTGATGAGAAATAACATGGAAAAGATAAACAGATTGGAACAATTAATTTTACATTTTATATGATGGTAAAAAAAATTTGGATTATCTTTTTTGTTGAATTGATTGGGACAAAAGAATAAACTCTCTTCTCAATCAGCATAGGGGATCTATATTTATTTCAGCAACAACTCTCCAGTAAAATCAAAACAATATTAATGTTATTTATGAATTTAAATTTCCCATAGAGAACTGTTTTCCCAACAAAGACATATTAATAAATAATTATGTTGGACATACCACTACTCACTTATTAACATAGCTGACACTACATCTCTCAGACCACAGCTCCATAAGGTCCCATTTAAAATATCATGAACACTTAGCAACTTTGTGCAAATCTACTCATTTAGAATAAACATGTGAGACACATCTCTAACTGAAGGAAACACCTAACAAAATAACTGAAGCTTTTATCATATAAAAAAAGACCCATAACAGCATCAACTATAAACATGGCCACAATGTAATGGCCTCATGAGTCATGTATTAAAATAAAGATGATTGGCTAAGTGTGTATCACGCATGACACATAACTGACTGATTGTAAATTGTATTAAATTTCTTCACATTGCAAAGATGAAAAAATACAGTAAAAACAAAAACAAAAAGGGATCTGGAAGATTTAATTATCATATTTGCTAGAAGTTTTTTTACTGATGAGGCAGATTTTTTCCTGCAGTAGGTTGCCATTTCTTTCTGTAGTAGACCAGTTGCCATCCAAGGCTATAGAACTCGGTCTATCCTGCTATTTACCCATAGCTGGGGAGAGAAGAAGAGGATTCATACCTTTCCTTAGTACGTAAGTGAATGTAATGGATTCAGCTAGAATTCAAACTCGGCTCTCTGATTCCTCAATCCAAGCCATTATCCATTACTCCACTGTGCCTTTCCAAATATACATGGGCAAATATGTACTTTTCAGTTGGCTGATGAATATTTATTGGTGTAGATCATTTTTTTTTTAGTATTTACTTTTTAATCAACACTTTACTGTACATATAATTGACAGTCTTATTCAACTACCTGCAGCTTCTTTATCACAGACACATCACAAGCCTATAACTACTGTTATGATAAGTGTAGTCTCATCAAGAGAAGATAACTCTCTCCAAAGTATAGCGATACTGCCTTTTATACAGTACCTCATTTACATATCACTACACCTCCCTGAACCTAAGAGGCTTTATACTTTTAGTTGATCTTTGACTTCTATGAATAACACTGGGAGACATCATCCGTCTCTCAGAGTGAGTCTCTTTATTTCTTTTTATAGGAGATCTAGGTCTTCTCCACATTTGAATCGTTATGATATCTCCTCTCACTCTCATCTCCAGATTGTTCATCACTACTACTGGATACACTCATTCTCTCCTCCCTCTTCTGTTCTTCACTTTCATATCTCTGGTAGTCTTCCTGATCACTCTCAATAGTGGATTCATTCATCCTTTTTTGTGTTGTCAATTCTTCTGCTTCCTCTTTCTCCTCCTTTTCCCTAACTTCATGCTCTCTTCTGATTTAAAATTGCCCTGTCTCTTCTTTGTTGACACTGCTGTGTTAAATCCCTTTTGCACCACCATTTTGTTCAGCTTAGCAACCGCCAAGGGTAGCATGTTGTTATGATGTTGATTTGGGGTTAGTAGAGACAAACGCCAAATAACACGTAACAATAAAAAGGGTTTTAATAGGTTGGTAAAAAGGTACAGAAATCGCCTGAGTAGTCAATAACTAGCTCAGCTAAGAACTTCTCTGTCTATCTATCTTAGTATTTATCGATCCACCCACGAGGATTGAACATGGCACAAGGCCAGTTTAATGTGTATCTCCGAGCCTGTATGCTCGGCCAAAATATAGCCTTTGAACCCGCCTAGATGGGTTCAGGCCCTGTTTACCTCCCCAGACGAAACCTTGCCCTTTCGCAAAGCTTCGTCGGGTTCCTCTCTGCTAACGCAGAGAGTTCGACAGAGGTAAACAGTCAAAGATCAGTATCACAACTCAGCTAGACTCGGAGGTCTTACCTCTCGGTCTATCTGTCTTCTCCATGTCAACTGACATGCCAGTATTTAAAGTCTTTGTTCACAGACGCAGACAAGTTCATCTTCAAGAGGGGTGGTAGGTTTCCGACACAACACATGTGAACAGGAACTTTTGGGGCTTGAAAATACATGGGTTGACTGCTTTCTTTAAGCTAAATACTTTCCTCATATCCACTTAAGAATCCCACATCTGGTACTACAGACGTCATGGAATTTATCAGCTTTGATGTACCCACTCTTAACATGTCAATTCCTAAAAGACTGGTTTTTGATGTTTTCCATCACTATGATGGGCATTATCTTGAATCTATTTTTTGTCTCAAGTATGCCTTCAAATCATCCTAAAATTTTGATGATTGACCCATTGAACTGTTTCCACTATAGATTAATTTAACTTTGGTATACTCAATTTTTCCCCAAAATTCCTTGATATTAACATAAAAACACTTCTAGTATCTCCCTGCATAAGTACTTCAACTTCACCATTTCCTTACTTTCATCCTGTGCTTTTATCTCAAATGCTTCTGTACTTTCAATTTGAGGATCTATATTTTCCACTTTTTCCACAAGTGCATACCGTCTAGAAATGATTCCTCTTTTTATTACTAATTTGTGTCTTGTCTCTTTATAAGGCCTCTCGGCCATAGAACAAATACTCCATGTATTTCTCTTTATGCTCTACATAATTCTATTCAACACTGAATCATGCCTAGTTCCCAACCTAAGCTGATTTAAGGGTAATACGTCCGTTTCTATCTAGTAAAAAATCCTTTCCTCAATTTTCACTTGCTTCAACATTTTAACTCTCAAAATTTAACCTAGATAATGCATCCACATGTGAAATAGTATTTCCTTTTAATATATACGATGTCAAACGCCATAAGATTAATTGCCCATCTTAATATCCTAGCAGATGTGACTTTTGGTAACACTCTTCTAGGGTTGAATATAAATTCCAAAGAGTTATGTTCAGATTTTAATAAAAATTTCCTTCCCAGCAAAAAATATACCTCATTCCATGTTTCAAACAATCACCAATGCCTTCTTCTCAATATTCAAATAATTTGCTTCTGCTGATGTTAGCTTTCTGGATAAGTACATTACAGGGTGACCCTCCTGTGACAATATTGCGGCTATAGCACAGTCACTGGCATCAGTAGTTAATGTCGATTCTTTCACTGGGTTGATAATCTTAACAACTGGTTTGCTTATGAGTGCCTTTTTTTAATTTCTCAAAAGCAACCGCCTGTCTTTTTTTCCAGTTAAACTCTGTATTCTTCTTCCTTATTACGTTAAATGGTTTCACATGGTCACTATATCACGGTAGATATCTGTTAGAGAAATTGGTTTATCCTAGAAATAATTCTAACTCTGATATCTTATTAATGAGTTTATCACCCAGCAATATACTCTCTTTGGATATTTGATATCCTAGGTACAAAATGTTTTCTCAATCAAACCTGCATTTATCATGATTAATTGTCATACCTGTGTTATTAATTTTCTCAAAACTTGCTCTATTTTACATTTGAGCTCTTCTTTTCTACGCACACCAATGCTAATGACGTCCTGTTATACAATTATATTTTTAATCCCCTCTAAAACTTTTTCAATGGCTTTTTGGAAAATGGCACTCTGTTTCAAGGTTTGGCAACAGGAATGAATCCAAACAAATCTGGTGAGTCATGCTCATCTTATAATTGCGACAAAGTCTTAAATCTTCCCTGGGCTTGCATATCGCCTCAATAGGTGAAGCCCAATCGCTACCACCCTGGCTGATGTTTTCTAATATTCCTCATTCCACCATCATGGCTAAATAACTGATTGGCAATGCTGTATTGTTATGATAGGCATTCTCTCTGACAGATGTAGTCTTGTCAAGAGAAATTAACTCTCCTGTAGATATATCGATACTGCCTTTTATACAGTACCTCATTTACATGTCACTACAACTACTTTATCATTATTCCCATGGCAAATGTTCAGATAACCTCCATTATTTAGTTCTAACAGTTGAGACCTTTACTGCCATTTCCATGAAATTGAATCATCCTCATTTTCCTCATATTCCAGATGTAAGGAGAAAGTTTCACTTAGCTTTTTTTCACAAGGACTCATACTTTGTAGCTCAGATGCTTTCATGGATGCTACTCTGAACACAGCAGTCTTAGCCATTTCAAGTCAATAGTCAATGGTTTTCTTTCCTTCCTATTCTCATAATTTTCACTTCTCAACATCTCCTCTTACATTCATAGTGCACACTTTTATCATAACATTGCAGATTCTTCTTTGGATTTTATCAAGGATCTTTGAATACATAGCAGAAGCACTAGACCAGGTCTAGCAGCAATATTCAATGCATGGACTTATAAATGTCTAAGATTGATTCTGGTGAGAAAAATTAGCTCGCATGACTCAGTGAACTAACGTTCAGAGCAGCAGAATTAGCAATTGATTCAATATAATTTTTCTATTGGGTTGGTGCATAATTATCAGGCGTTTTTATAGGCGAGTTATTTGTTTATAAAACATTTCTGTTTTTACTTTTTTTTAATAAAAATATTTTATTTTCAGGTTATAAAAATGTGTGTCAATAATCATATGCTCTGGAATAATCATTTAAAAATGTTATTGTTGAATTGTTATGATTCTTTTTTCATAATAAATGTTGTTTAAAAAACGCCTGATAATTATGCACCAACCCAATACTTCATCTTAGCAGAAAATGTTAGCCTGAAAAGATGTAATGAGTTACTCTTCTAGAGGTTAGCATCAGCTATGCTGATGGAAGAACCCTTGTAGTTTAAAAACTGTATTTATATTTGGATACACTAATATTAATGGCTTTTTTCCTCTTGACTTCCAGATAAATGCCATGGATATGGCAAGCAGATTGAAAACTGTGGCACATTACAAGGTGTATGGTACAACCAACTTGGTTCACAGCTGATACTTGTACATCGCTCTGATGGCACATTAGAAGGGGAATACCGTACCAGTGTGGAGGTGGAGATTGGTGATGCTGGTACTTCACATTCTATTGTCATAGGTAAGGATTTCCGTAATATTCTTTTTGTAGATTTTGGGATTGGCAGCCATTTTTTTTTTTCTCAAAATCATCAAAAAATATACATTTTATATGACTTCATGAATCCTTAAATATAAGAATCCATACCTTTGTTGTTGTTTCACTTATTACATTTTCATAGTAAAAATACCAGCAATACATTTTCATAGTAAAAAAATTACGAGCAATACATTTTTGTAAAAACATAAAAATTACCAGCAATATATTTTTGTAAAAAAAATAAAAATTACCAGCAATATAATCCTGGAAAAAATATATATTACCAGCAATATGTTTCTGGAAAAAATATATATTACCAGCAATATATTTCTGGAAAAAATATATATTACCAGCAATACATTTTTGTAAAAAAAATAAAAATTACCATCCATATATTTCTGAAAAAGATATATATTACCAGCAATATATTTTTGTGAAAAAATGAAAATTACCAGCAATATATTTCTGGAAAAAATATATATTACTAGTAATACATTTTTGTAAAAAATATAAAAATTATCAGCAATATATTTCTGGAAAAACTATATATTACCAGCAATACATTTTTGTAAAAATTAATTACTAATGCTCTCAAGAAAATTAAATTTTGGCATTAAATGACCCATAAGGAGTTGATATGTCGATAAATAAACAAACCTGTAAACTAAGCACTCTCTGGCCTTCCTCTTATAGTTTTATGCTCCAAAACAGATTATTTTTATGCTAGAGGATAACCATTTACATGACTATTATTTGACTTAAATATTAATAAGTATAATAAATTTGTCCCTTGCCCCCTCCATAATTTAGCAGTAACAGTATTGAGCTCCCCACTAAATGCAAATAATCCATTCGGATAGCAGTAGGGTCTATTCTAGTTCCTCTCCAGAGAAAGTCAATCTCCTCACCATAACATATTCTTCAGTTGTGTCTTATGGTCGCATCCCGTATGATCACTGAAGTAAAGCAATGTTAAGCCTGGTCAGTACCTAGATGAGTGACCACTTGGGAATACCTGGGAATAAGTTTGGATAATGGCTTGGAATTTTAATTGGGTTGATCTTAAATACAAGATTGACTTATAAACAAATATACCCATGAATGTGTTTATTATAATAAGACAATGATATCAAAAAGTTATTGTTATAATCATTTGGTTTTAAATACTTTAAAACAAATTTATCATCCTGGGTATGACGGTTAGTCACATCCAGCACCAAGGTTTCTGACTGTGAGATTGGAGGTTTTGAGGAGCATGGAACCACCTCTTAATTGCCATTGTCCACTCTGAACTGGAGTGATAGAACCTGTTAAGGTCTCAGCTATGGGTAAATAGTGAATCCCCCCCCCACCCGATAAAAAAAAAAATCAACAGGTCATTTTTATAGTAGAATACTAACAATACATTTTTATAGTAAAATGACAATACAACACTAAAAAAGTATAAAAATACAAAGAATACATTTTTTTATAAAAACATTACCAACAATACATTTTTGTATGAAATTATGAGCACTCCTAACCTGGCATCTCGACTCCAGTGACTTTCTCACTGACATGACGTGGCTTCCCTCTGTCTTTTCTATAAACATTTTCATGGCAACTGCTCTGATGAGCTACTTTCACTGGTGCCCCAACTGCATGAATTTAAGCATGCTACTAGGTTGGCATCTAGGTCCCACCCTTTGTCTGTCGAAACAGTTAAATGTAACTGCTTCTTCTACTCAAACAGGTTTTTCTCTCAAACTTTTTGACAGCGGAACTCCCTTCCTCTAACTTGCTTCCTTGATAAGTATAATCTTCAAAAATTTAAATGTAATGTCAATCGACATCTTCTCATGCCTTGATCTTGATCCCTGTCCTTCTCGTTATCCTTTCCTCAAACACCCCTCTTTACTCTTATTTTCACTCTCTGTAACCCCTTGTGTGCTTGTGACACTACCGCCTTACTTGGGGTAAAATGCCTAAAAAAAAAAATACATTTTATGATCTACAAACTACAGGGTGATTGAAAAGTATCTCCCTATTTTATGTATGTTGGACTCTCCCATCTTGTAAAAATTACAGTTAGATGGGAGAGTCCATTATGCATAAAGTAATGAGTTCCTTTTCAATCACCCTGTATATATCTCTAAAAAAAAAACCCCCCAAAAAACTTCCTTTTACCTTGAAAGTATAAAATGACATACAAAACATTTAGATTTTGGCATTAAATAACCCATAGAGATTTTTCTATATCTTTTATTGTTCTGTTTCTGTTAGATTAAGTTCTCCCCTCATAACTTGGTAGGTTCATGTTAGCAGCAGCAGCATCTTTATCACCCCCATAGTTATTAATGAACTCAACCTCTCAGCTTAAGTAAGTGGATGACGGAACAGGGTTTGAGAGAAGCAGCAAAAGGACAGAACATATTGAGAGCTACAAGGGATAGAAGGAGTGGAGAGCCATGATCGTCTATTTCCTGAAGGGACACGGCACATAAAAGAAGACCTCTTTATCCTGGTTCTACCATTCATTCACACAAGTATTAGTGTACTATGTCAAGTTAGTGTTAGATCCTCTAGGATTTCTTTCCTTATTATATGTCCTCTGTATGATGATAAACTACATCTGGCAAATAAACAGCCCCCCGACAATTATTATTTAAGGTTGACGGACATGCATATCTTAACTCAAACAAAAACATTGTTTTCAATTGTTATGCGTCTACCGATTGAATAGAATTTTATTATAAACAATTGTCTTGTAAATGGAATTTTTAAAGCATTCTGAATGTAAAAATAAAGAAAAGAGTGTGCAAGACAATAAGAAACACTACCTGCCAAAAAAAAAAAGGTGAAGTTTTGTTGAAATCGGTTGAAAAATGTAGGAAATCCGATCCCATATATAAACGAACAAACACACACAAACAAACAACCTGGGTTTTATAATAAGTATAACTCGATATGAGTTGTCCCCCTTTCATTCACGTGACAGCAATGCCTCTTAATCATGTTTTCAAATTGATTTCGTGCAAAAACAATTGTGTTTTTCCAATTTTTGGCGCTGTCAGAACCACCACAAGGTAATTTTACGTAGTCCTGTGAAGTTTTGCTGAAATTGGTTGAAAAATGTAGGAAATCCGATCCAATATATAAACGTACAGACACACACACACACACACACACACACACACACAACCTGTGTTTTATAATAAGTATGATGACAGACAAGGTGCTTTGATTTAGTTTTTTATACAATTTCTCATGTGATGATCTAATAAGTTTTCTCTTTTTAGATGATAAATTATATAAAAACTGAATGTTCTTTTTTTCGGATTGCTTTTGACTATACATTTAGCCATTTTCAAGGATGAAATATTTTAACTGTTAAATAAGAAATAGTTTGTTGCATGTATTTATTTATATAATGTTTACGTTTTTCAAACCACAGTCAAGATATTGTGTCCATGTTCATAGTTGATATTATTGAGTGTTGTTTTTTTTGCTTTTATTAATAAGGCTTCCATTATTTTTAGACTTTTTTGCATGTAGATATAGATATGTTTCTTTGTTTTTTCCTGACTTTGATTAAAAAAAGACAGACATTTTTTTTTTTTTTACTGAAAAGCTAAAAAATCAATTGTCTGTCATTTTTTACAAAATACTTTCTTGCATTTCTTTCCCCTCCAATCAGTGTAGATATTGTGTGAATTCTTGTGAATGACCACCTTCTGCTCTGCTCCTTCTGGTCATTTTTAAAGAGCACAGGTTATTAGGGCTTTAAAAATGGACATTTTAAAAGTATGTCTGAACACATGCAGAAATATATTAAAAATATAAGGAGGAAGAGTAAGAAAAAACAATTACTGTTAAGTGGTGGATTTAAAAATATAACAACAACAAATAAGGCATAAAAAGGCTAACCGGTTATCGCTCCTCACTCTTTAAAGCCAATCAAAGAAAATAAGATAAATATGTGCACAATGATTAAAAAAGGGAGGAAAAAGGAAATTTGTACCAGAAAATCAGCAGTCTTAATCACAGACATATAATACACCAATCAGCCATTCTTTTTGTTTACTGCTGGGTCGCAATATATTCTGTCTGGGATTCATACTGCTACTAATTTAGCCAGAATAATTACTAGCCATTTTTAAAAAAAAAACAAAAAAACCTATAAATTTGTTCATACCAACTAAAGAAGAGAGAAAAATTATCCCATAATTATTTATTAATTAGGGCTTTAAAAATGGACATTTTTAAAGTATATATATAAATGTACACATAAATATAAAACAAAGGGGCACGGCAAGTGAGGGCAATACAAAAAAAAAAATTATTACTCACCATAACATGGTGGATTGAAAAATATTTAAAAAAAATGTAACTGACCCTGACCTGGCATCTCAACTTCAATCACTTTCTCTCAACATGGCTTCCCTCCAACTTTTCTACAAATATTTTCATGGCAATTGTTCTGATGAGATTTCCTTGTTGGTGCCTCAACTGCGTAAATTTAAGTGTGCTACAAGATTGGCAACTAAGTCTCACCATCCTACTGTTGAACTAACTACATCCAACTGTATGTTCTATTCAAATAGTTTCTTTTCTCACCTGGGAAATCCCATTCGATATTTTGCTTTCTTGCTATATACAATCTTCAAAAATTTAAATGCAATGTCAATCATTATTTTTGGTCTCCTGTTCTTTTATTGTCCTTTTTCCTCACTAAAGTCTTCTCATTCTCTTCCACACCCAGTAATTCCCTTGCATCTTAGTGGTATTATTGTCTTGCTTGGGGTGAAATGATTAAAATAAATTACAGTTTACTTCAAGTAATGTTATATATGACTATATGAGTAGATGGGAAGGTTTGGGGTAATGGCATTCTTGGAAATAATCACAATGGGATAATGGTTAAAAATATTTGATGAAAACTACAACAGAGCTTCTGCAGATCTTGTTAGTATATTTGAAGTGTATCAAGCTTACAGAATGTCCTATATCAAACTTACAGAATGTCCTCTATCAAACTTACAGAATGTCCTCTATCAAGCTTACAGAATGTCCTCCATCAAGCTTACAGAATGTCCTCTATCAAGCTTACAGAATGTCCTCTATCAAGCTTACAGAATTTCCTATATCAAGCTTACAGAATGTCCTCTATCAAGCTTACAGAATGTCCTATATCAAGCTTAAAGAATCTTCAATATCAAGCTTACAGAATGTAATGTCCTATATCAAGCTTACAGAATATTCTCTATCAAGCTTAAAGAATATCCTATATCAAGCTTACAGAATGTCTTATATCAAGCTTACAGAATGTCTTATATCAAGCTTACAGAATGTCCTATATCAAGCTTAAAGAATGTTCAATATCAAGCTTAAAGAATTTCCTATATCAAGCTTACAGAATATTCTCTATCAAGCTTACGGAATATTCTCTATCAAGCTTACGGAATATTCTCTATCAAGCTTACGGAATATTCTCTATCAAGCTTACAGAATATCCTATATCAAGCTTACGGAATATCCTATATCAAGCTTACAGAATATTCTCTATCAAGCTTACGGAATATCCTATATCAAGCTTACAGAATATTCTCTATCAAGCTTACAGAATGTCCTATATCAAGCTTAAAGAATGTTCAATATCAAGCTTACAGAATGTCCTATATCAAGCTTACAGAATGTCCTATATCAAGCTTACAGAATGTCCTATATCAAGCTTAAAGAATGTCCTATATCAAGCTTACAGAAAGTCCTATATCAAGCTTATAGAATGTTCAGTCTAAATATGCTTGGGAAAGACATGAAACCACATCTTCTACTCCCAGCTTTAACTGCAATGTCAATAGTCGTCTACTGTCTTCTTGAATAGTGTTCTTTTATTGTTTTTTCACCAAACTAAAAATTTCTCATTCTCTAAAAATTTGAATATTGGTGCTCTGACTATATATCCCAAGATTCTTGACATAATTCAAACAAGGGTCTGCAATGTAATTAATCCTGACCTGGCGTCTGGACTTCAGTCTCA